ATTTACCTCTTCTTTGAGGCGCGTCTCTAAAGTTCTGGCGCTTGCTTTTGTTACATGTGGTGTTCGATATATTGCGTATGGAGACACCTCCGAAGAATGAGCGGCGATCTGGAAATACGTTTCTTCAACTGATCTTTACGTGCACGTTTCTTTCAGACATATATACGCAGAAAATACATCTCGCCACACCGCGTTGGTTTAGTGGCTAAGGCACTCGGCTGCTGATCGAACCCCGGCTGCGGCGGCTGCATTTTTGATGGAGGTGAAAATGCTGTAGGCCTGTGTTCTTTTTTTTATTGATATGATATATTACGAGATGTTGGCGCACAAGTGTGGTGCCAGCTACTCCTTAGCCCTTTAGCGAAATTTGAACACATATCTTAATAAAATAAAATGTACAAAGCATTCTATGGAAAGTAGAACATTCGAGCACACATATGCAATAACACACCTATACGCACATATCACAACACAACACAGTGATAAGAAAATGTTCTAAAGGCAACGAATGGAGCCTTTATAGATGTCCCTCGTAAACATTCAATCCAACCAGCACAAAAAACAGCAGAGAACACGCCAGGTCTTAATGAAGATGTATTCGCTCGTGTGATGATAACAGTCGACAGGTCATTCACTTCAGCACACGCATATGATGGGTGTCATATGATACTGCGCATAATAAGTACGACATGTGTTATACAAATGAAAGTTCGTTATTTCTTGGTACTAGCCAGCAATTCCGCTGTATTGTAAAAAACGTTTTAACGCTTTTAAGGCGTGCATCTGTAAAACTCCTGTTGGCCACGAGCCCAGAAATTTCCTGATACTGAACGGTTTGTGGTCTAATGCCAACAGTTCCGGTTTAAGACCGCGTCTTGGCGTGTCATGATGGGGACAGTAGATGAGAAGGTGACATACGCCTTCATCTATAAACCCACTTTCATACTCGGGAGTTTGAGCTCTGCTTAGATTTAGGTACACGTTAAACAATGCCAGGTAGTCGAAATTACCCCCCCCCCCCTTCCCCGCCACCCCTAAAAACAATATCTTACGCCGCTGACTGTACGCCACTAGCCGTTGCGCTGTTTCATCCGTATCCGCTCATTGGAGCTGGCTGAATTTTTTCTTTGCCATCTGATAGTGCACATTTTCGGTACTTCGCAATGTCTGTAAATTTATGTAAACCTGCCGTAATGCATCCGCCTTGACAGTGCGCTGCGGGCCTTTTACAACGCGTGTGGGAATGCAGCTATATGGTGTGATCCGTTAGAGTGGAAATTTCCCGAGACCGAAAATTGCTTCCAGTGACACCCCCGGAAGCTGTGCGCTCGTCGAAGTGCGCTCATCGAAGTGCGCTCGTCAAAGCGCGCTCGTCAAAGTGCACACGCTTTCACCCGCCACATTGTTAGCTCCTTCGTCTTGACACGTCTGCCGTGATCCCTCACGTGGGTGGAAAGAGCAAACCGTTGCTTCGAACGTTGCAACAACTACCTTGCAGAGCTTGAAAGGACACTAAAGCGAAACAATGAATTTGTTTAGATTGATTAAGTGTTCTCTGAGAACTGTAATGTCGTCATTTTTATCGGAAGTTCACTACTACAGTATAAATCAAGGTCAAAGTACCATTTTTAAATTTCGCACTGAAATCTGTGTGCATGACGTCATGAATTTTGAAGTTCTGTTCCGTTCTAAGTGTTTCGCTGTTGAGAGGTTGAGGTCCGTATTGCCTCGGCTACTTTATATCAATAAGTTCTGCAGCGAAAAAAAACAATAAAAGATTAATACTGAATGGTACTCAATAATGAGCAAACACGCACAAAAAAATAATAGCCCGCTGAAACCGGTTGAAATATCATGGAAATGTATACTTAGCTTGTAGCTGTTCACACAGGCATGCATTCACACGGACACCTTTCTTTTCTACTGTCAGTATACGCACTAACAGATAATTTGGTGTATGTCAACCCCTGGCTGTCTAACACAGGCGCTTATCCAGCCCGGTCTCCGCTAAGAAGTGTGTCAGGAAGATGTTTGCCTTTTTCTGAAGACGCATATCAGGCAATGGTATATTTGTTGTACTCTGCAGACATGGGCTCGATGAAACTTTTTCGAAATTCAATACGTGAAGTCTCCTGCCCATCAGCAGACAATGTGCTTCATTTATACCTGTTCAGAACTACGCAGGCCTAAATAGAGAGAGAGCGATAAAGATGCAAGGAAAGGCAAGGAGGTTAACCAGACGCACATCCGGTTTGCTACCCTGCACTGGGGAAGGGATGAAGGGGAGAAAAGAGGTTGCAGAAAGATGAGAAGGTACACACAATCACGAGCACACTCGGGGAGCACACATAGTCTACAGGCGGTCGCTCAGGTTTGTGGACTTACGGTAAAGTAGCAGTGATTTAGTTGCTTTCTGCGCAACTGAGGCAGATGCCCAAGGTCCTGGTATCTTCTGCACACAAAATGGTCCGGGGTCAAGTCGATTCAAAACCATCCGGAGCTGGCATCGCTGTGTGTTGTAGCAAGCGCAGCTGCACAGGACGTGTTCGATGGTCTCTTCAGCTCCGCAGTAGTCGCATGTAGGAGTGTCTGTCATACCAATGCGAAAGGAGTACGCCTTTGTAAATGCAACACCCAACCAAAGGCGGCATAACAGTGTCGCATCGGAGCGGGAAAGTTGTGATGGTATCTTTAGCTTGAGCGAAGGATCCAGTTCATAAAATTGACACCTTTGGAAGCTGGTAGACGACCAGAACGTGCGTGTGAGATCTCGAGCCAGCAGGTAAGTTGTCTTGCTGCATCATTCCTTGATAGAGGAATCGGGACTACACGGGTTTCTTCATGGGCTGAGCGGGCTGCATCATCGGCTAATTGATTTCCGGTAATACCGATATGTCCAGGCAGCCATTGATATATAATATCATGGCCTCGTGCTAGAGCTTCATGATGACAATGTCTTATTTCTTGTACCAGTTGGTCATGGCTCCTCCTACGCATGCCAGACTGCAAACTCTGAAGCGCTGCCTTCGAATCACAGAATATGACCCATTTTCCTGGACGTTCATGAACGAGATATTGTAAAGCAGCCCTTATAGCAGCAAGCTCTGGTGCCGTAGATGTAGTCATATGCGACAACTTAAACTCGATTGTCATTTCTGCAGCCGGAATTACAGCGGCACCTGATGAGCTGCTGGATGAGACGGACCCATCAGTGTATATCAGGCCTAAGTAAACACTGTGAAATTTTATGACGTCACGGCGCTTGGTGCAGGAAGTTTAAGGTGGCTTCGCTACCTGCATTTTTGCTTTGCGCGTTTTTTCACTTACCAAGCGCCTTCTCGCGGCGTGCATAGTGATTTTAGAATAGTGCATGGATAATTTACTGAAAACAACACATTTTCCTCTTCAATGTTCTTTTAACATGTTTTTCGTGAGAATGCGATATCAGCTGCTGATTTGCGCTCAAAATGCGTTTATACGGAGGTAAGAACAGCGTCTCGTCGGTGGTCACAAAGGCTACATTGGTTTCTGAAGTGGCCGTGTAGTAAATAGCGTTCAGTACTCTTTCTTCCGTAAGGGGCAAGGCGTGGTGGTATAAGCCAAGGGACACCCATAATGTCGTCAGTAGCTCTAGCACCCTTCTGCATCGCTTATGACTAGGAGGGGCATTTACAAAATCTTATTCCTGTGTCATAGGAATGGCCGACAACGCTCTCTGCGATGCCTGTCATTGCAAAAAGACGCTGCACCACATCCTGTGCGACTGTCCGTTGTATGACATCCAGAGACAGTCACTGGCGTCCGTTCTTGCGCGCATCGACAACAGCCAAATGTCTGTGGACACTATTCTGTCAAGTGCCCGAGAGAAGACATTGCAACAGAAGGTGACCAAAGTTCTGTTGAAATTCCTAGCCCCGCCGCGGTGGTCTAGTGGCTAAGGTGTACTCGGCTGCTGACCCGCCCGGCGCGGGTTCGAATCCCGGCTGCGGCGGCTGCATTTCCGATGGAGGCGGAAATGTTGTAGGCCCGTGTGCTCAGATTTGGGTGCACGTTAAAGAACCCCAGGTGGTCTAAATTTCCGAAGCCCTCCACTACGGCGTCTCTCATAATCATATAGTGGTTTTGGGACGTTAAACCCCACAAATCAATCAATGTTGAAATTCCTACGCGACATGGACTTGAACAAGCGGCTGTAACAGCAATGTGACACACCGCGAAAGATAAGACTGGACAATGACTGAGTGTGCGCGCGTGTGCTGCCGATTGGGCTGTGTTTATCTCTCTTCCCTTTCTGCTCTCTGTCTTTCATCTCCCCCATCCCCCTCCCATGCGCAGGGCCGCAAACTGGCTGCCTATAGGCTGGTTAACCTCCCTGCCGTTCTTTTCCTATTTTCCTTCCTTCCAGTGGATGTTAGAAGCAGCCAGAGTCGGTTCTTCCCGAATATTTCATGGCCATTCATTCAGTTTTTAAACATTAGATCTGTAAACAAAGACACGCGGAATAAGTCGCGGTCTCTCTGTAAGTGCTTTCTGGTATTGGAGTACTCTTGTGTCACGCTAGGCAGAGCCGGCACTTCCGAGCTGCCCTGGACGGCGTCATCTGATACCCTTGAGAAACAGGGAAGCGCAGCGGGGGAACCTTCATTCGATTTCGAGTTCCGCCAGTGAAGACGACGTATGAGATGGATATGGCGGAGGAAGAAGGCACAGGCAAAAATGCCTGCCCGCCTTCGTTCCTGGCCCCGATGGCGCACCTGCCCTGGCTTTGCGTGACGTCACGTGTGACGACACAGGCGACGTCCTTCTTGCCTCCCCGCGGCCACGACCAAGGCGGCACCACGCGTCGGCAGCCGCAAACATTGATCGCAGTGTGCCGACTGACTCTCTCGGCCTCGGACGGGGGTGGGTGACGCTGTCGTCGTTCCTTCGACTGAGATACGGGCTTCTCCGCATAGCAAAGCCCGCTATCTCGCGCCTCTTCCTTCGCTCTCCTTCGGCGGCGGCGACAGCGAGCGTCGGTGCTGCTGGCCGGCTGGAATGCCAGGCGCCTGGCTACGCGACACAGCGCGTGCTCTTCTCTGCACATTCGTTTCGTGTCGTACCGTGTGCGATACTGTGTGCTCCTGCCCCGTGTCACGGCACCGTCTGCGACTCTGAAGCACCACCGGGCAGTGGGAAGCGGTGAACGTGCACGCTTTATGCTCCAACGTCCGCGCACTCTCGGATAACACTTTCTTTCGGGGGGTCCTCTTCGTACACTGCGGACTACAATATTTGTGATCTTTCTTCTCACCTGAGTGCTGCTGAAAGTCCATTGGGGCTGCTCGTCTACTCGCGCAGATGTGAACGCCACGGAGTTATTCTGGATTAACGTAAATGATCCTCGTTTGCTTGCGTAGCCCCTCGAATGACCATTGGGATTACCGCAAGCATGATGATTCAGGGATTATCGTTATCTTGCGGAGTGCGCCTAAGCTGCATTGATGACGGCGGTCAGTGAAAGACTGTTCCGTCCGGGAAACCCGAAATAGCGCCTGTTTTTCTGAGTGTATAACTGTCACGTGATCGACCATTGGCGTACACTGTCACTGCCATAGAAGTAATCCCTGCTACGCGAAGTCAACCCGTGCAGTTCTGCATCAGACCTAGGCAATTCGCTTGCCCTGCAAGCCTGTTGCCCTCTTTTTTGTACGGGTGCTTCAACAGAAGAAGTCGTGAAAAGATTGTGTTGAACTTCGCGTAGTGGATCAGTTCAATTTGCAGCATTTTTTTGGTGACTAAAGCACGATTGAATAACACCATGAGGCGGGTGATCCTCGAGTCAGTTTTGCTGTGCCTCGTCGTCGGGCTTGAAGTGAAGGGGAAGAAGCACGTGACGGAGATGGCCCCCACGGCGAGCAATGCATCTGTGTTCCTGCCCGGACCAGGTACGTGACACTCCAGCACACTTATTGATTCACTCGTTGTACACTTCTGCATACACATATCCAGTCACACTGGTATCTGCAATATTCTCTAGCATCCCTGAACTGTAGTTGTGCGCCTGTCTGGCGACGCCTTTCCTAGAAGTGCGCAATGCGCTTGGGAATTTGCTTGCATTTAGTGCCGCATTTCAGTCTCACAGTGCCCTTCTCGAAGATGTCATAAACACGTCTGCGAATAAAACATTTCGTATGAAACTAACGGGCGCCACCTCACACGATTTCGCACATCACTCTAGTGTCAGAAGACTCTCGCGAAATTATGCCTCTGTTTCAGCTCTGGAGCAACAGGATTGAGCTGTACGCGATAGCATTGCGATTGAACGCTATCGCTGTTTTTTTTTTCCAGGGTGAGGACCAGATGAACCCAGCACTTCCACCACTTGAAACGGGCTGTTGAATAAGCAGGAGTTGACTCGGCGAAGGAGAGCTTTATTTAGCGCAAGGGCTAATTGAACGCAAGCCTGCGATCACAGCAAGTCTTCTTCCTTTTCTATACTCGAGCTCCATGCCCACTGCCCTCGTTACAGTGAGTAGTTTTCCTTTTAATGGCTCTGACACTATAAATCATTAGATGTTTAGTCTTGTGGATATTATCGCCCTGTCGCTTGAGTGTAGGCAAGGCACTATGCTGAGGTCTTGTCAAAAGCATGCTTACTTGAGAAAGTGCATGCAACCTTTTCAAGCAGCTAGGTACTTGTGTTTACTACATGTATAGGTGTCCGCATGCTGGCACAAAAGGGGCTTTTATCCCTTCTTGAGCCACACCAGCAGTTGCCCCCAGCGTGCTACATCAGTAAATCAGTGCTCTCCTCCACCCCCCAACCATGATGCAACACAAAATTGCAACCCTTCTCCCCCCCCCCCTCTCCCACAAGAAATCCGGACGACACTCATGCGTACATGCGTGCATTGCTTACTGGCTGAAATCGATACAAACATACATGTATAGCTATATGCATTTTCGGGGTTCAGCTGCTTCATGTGCACAGATTTTGCTGCTGAGGTACTCAGCATCTTAGATGGATGTAAAAAAAGCTTGGTTAACTTTTCATCATGTTTTGTCTCAGTTTGGACTCATTAACCCCTTTTTTTGTTGGTTCAGTAGGAGTGGCAAGAACAGACTAATAGACACTTTTTCTTTCAGATGTGTATTTCACTGCCTGTTTTTATATTATTGTACTTGGTGAACTGCAAACTCGAAGTTATCATTCATCTTATGTGACCGAGATACATGTTAACTGTTTCTCACTTTCAGCAGTACACTTTCATTGATAACATGAAATGTTAAAATGGGTCTTTTTGATATTTCATGGGTAATTCAAAATTTTTTTGAAATATTTCATGAAAACCAAGGTTTGCGCAGTTTGGGAAGAATTTACATTAACTGTACTTGGTGTAGGCGGCATAACAGATGCTGTGGCAAAAGTTAAAAGATGAATAAGTATGCTCTTATGAAGTCTATAAAAACTATTTGTACAAGAGAACACCAGCACAAGCACAATGAAACTGGTGGCACAGGAAATATCCTAAGATGCAGTGGCCATGTACAATATTGAAATATCTCGAAGGGCAACTAACGTACAATTTTCAGTTGTGATTTTTATAGATTAATGAACTGGTCAGTGTCTGGTCTATTCAGGCTAGTGCTACTTCACCTGTGATTTTCATGTCATCCTTCACATGCAAAGCAGTACACTTAAGACAGGTGTGAGAGTGAGTGGTCAGATTCAGCAGGAATGCATGAATCTGTGCTGCTGTATTCTAGTGAAAAAAAAAAACATAATGCCATGATGCTCCTTCATTTTACATGGCCATTGTCAATAGAAGCTCATCTTCGCAAGTGAAGTTCACGATAGTGTGCAGCTCAGTGATGTAGGGCTTCAACGATGGCCACGCTGATTAGGCCAGCAGGGCTGTTTCTTGGTTGTGGTGCTTGCAGTATAACTAACTTCATGATGCAGAGCACTTTTACCAATATTAGCAATAAAAATTCCACTGTGATTTAATGAATCCAACTTGTTTGTCTATAATGAGTTTGTGAAGGTAGAATGTAAAAGCCAGGTAAGCCGCTTCACTGAAGTTGCTGTGGCAAATGAAATGAGCGAGAGTGATGGCTCCCAGTAACGCCAGTATATGGTACTGTACACTGCTGTGAAGAATGGGTGCATTTGAGATATGGCCTTATTTCGCTAATCACTATTTCATGTCAGAAGCTGAACTGTAGCCAGTGTCTATACCATACCTTGTTAGTGGTGTTAGGTGCAGATGCCTCAAGTGGGATGGTATATTGGCAAAAGAGTGGCACTCTACTACCGTTAACCCATTTGCTGATTTTGAATAACCTGAATGAGCGTATTAGTTGTGTGGTGTGTGATCTTCTGCAATGCTTAGCTGATTTGCGAGTTTGTGAAGTAATTTTCGGGTGACAGATAATAGTTGGACGCCAGATGGTACTGTGGTTTACGGAATTAAAGAAGCAATGCTGACAGCATTCTGTTGTGCTCTGCGCAACTTTCCAATCTATCATGTGGACAGCGTTCGTGGAGTTGTCAGAGTGCCTGAGCAACTGCAAATGTGTCATTCATGATCGTGATGTGAGGTGCTGCAGTTAGAGAACATGTGCTCACACTGATTATTTAAGGCAACATTTGTCAATAGTTCTTGATCAGATGTGCCTGTGTAAGCTGGGATATCAGCAATAGAAATACCTGCAATTTAGAATATTTGTGTCACTTGTACTTAAATATTAAGAGTCTAGCATATAAAAAATATGAACAAAATAGCAATGTAGACAGAAGTTCAGCATTGCACTGTTAAAAGAGGAAAAGTATTATAACACTGTCACTTTCAAGAGCCGCTGTGGTGTAGCAGACAAAAATTTCTGATATAGAAATTCATGTAACATATGCCAACAGTAAAAATATTGCATAAGTGTTTACTCATATGAAGGATTTAAGAATGAGTTTCAGCATTGTAGTTCTTAGCATTGTTATTAAATAGGTTTAGTATTTTTTTAAACAACTGTACAGTTGTTGAACCCTTCTTTTAATACATCTTTGCACGCTTATATCATTTAGTTGATTTAGTTGAAATTATGTCACTTAGTTGTGATTAATATATTTTTCTCTCATTGCTTCTGACGTTCATTCTTTTTTTCTTTCATGCCTTCTGCTGCTGCTGACTTGGCTTTGCCACAAAAACCGTCAATGTGTTGACTGACCCGCAACATCCACCACTTTGGATTCTTCTAAACTGGACCCTCATCGGCTGCATATAACTAACATCACACTTCTTTTTATTGCACGCCTTTGGTCATCGATGGATGCATGCGTTTTAAAATTATGATATGCGTCTTCTTCTGCAATGCTGTGTGCCCAATACTTCTTCTGAACTACTGTAATTCTTTCGTATTGGTCTTGATTTATTTTGTGTGGTGCATTGAATTTTCTCGTGTCTTTTCTTGGTGTGTGTGCTTTGGGTATTTTGGTCTTGTTTGTCGGTTCTATTTGTGCAGTATCATACACCTATCCTAATTTGAAGCGACCAGGGGATGCTGTGGATAACTCGGACTTGAAGAGGCCAGGGGGGCCCTCTAGGTAGGACAACACAACACTTGCTGATTTATTGCAATGCTTTATGAGTAAATTGGTGAAGGCGTACAGTACCTGTTTCAGCTTACTTATGTTGATGAGTGATGGAAAAACAGCAACTGCATAGAAGGCGTTTGATTCAGTAGAAATATCAGCCATCATGCAGACACTGCGGAATCAGGGCGTAGATGAAGTATATATAAACATCCAGGAGAAATCTACAGGGAATCAACTGCTACCATAGTGCTTCATAAAGAAAGCAACAGAATACCAATCAAGAAGGGTGTAAGGCAGGGGGACACAATCTCTCCAATGCTATTTACCGCGTGCTTACAGGAGGTTTTCAGAAGCCTAGAATGGGAACAGTTAGGGATAAGAGTTAATGGAGAGTACCTTAGTAACCTGCGCTTCGCCGATGACATTGCATTGCTGAGTAACTCAGGGAACGAATTGCAACTCATGATTACGGAGTTAGACAAGGAGATCAGAAAGGTGGGTCTTAAAATGAATCTGCAGAAAACGAAAGTAATGTACAACAACCTCGGAAAAGAGCAGCGCTTCGAGATAGGTAATAGTGCACTTCAAGTTGTAAAAGACTATGTCTACTTAGGGCAGGTACTAATAACCGCGGAGCCGAACCACAAGATTTAAGTAACTAGAAGAATAAGAATGGGGTGGAGCACGTTTGGCAAGCACTCTCAAATTACGACAGGTAGATTGCCACTATCCCTCAAGAGGAAGGTATATAACAGCTGTATCTTGCCGGTGCTTAGCTACGGAGCAGAAACCTGGATACTTACAAAGAGGGTTCAGCTTAAATTGAGGACAACGCAACGAGCAATGGAAAAAAAAATGGTAGGTGTAACCTTGAGAGACAAGAAGAGAGCAGAGTGGATTAGGGAACAAACGGGGGTTAAGGATATCATAGCTGAAATCAAGAAGAAGAAATGGGACATGGGCCGGGCATGTAGCGCGTAGACAGGATAACCGCTGGTCGTTAAGGGTAACTAACTGGATTCCAAGAGAAGGCAAGCGGGTTAGGTGGGGAGATAAGATTAAGAAGTTTGCGGGTATAAATTGGCAGCAGCAAGCACAGGACCGGGTTAACTGGCGGAACATGGGAGAGGCCTTTGTCCTGCAGTGGACGTAGTCAGGCTGCTGCTGATGATGATAATGATGTTGATGCGAGGGTGATGGAAAACAGCACTGCATGAATTTTTTATTAGTTGGGCTACCGGTATTAAGTGAAGGCATTCGGTGCTACATGATTATGAATGGAAGTGAGGGATAAAGGTCTGGTCATTCAATGGCCAGAATTCTGAAGGGGTCCTGCAATACTTTCTTAAGTAACGATCAATTGGCTTCATTAGAATAGCTTATCAACTCATGAATATCGACTCCTGCGGAAATGTCTAGAATCTGTCAAGTACGAGCTGAGATTTGTCGCACACTACAGTTGCTTTCTTTTTTTCTTTAGCCCAACGAGCGTGGATGGCACAGGGGAAAGAAGTTATGTCATGCTCGCATCATGCTTTTGAGCTCTTTTTTTCCTTCAAACACGCAGCTTACTTTAAATGTTATCGCAAGGGCACGCGCAGGCAAATGTTCATCTCTTGCGGTGGCCACGGCAACTGTGTAGCTCACGATGCTTGAAACAGCTAACAGCTTTGAATTGAGGTATATGGCACTGTCACTTAGACATATGTCATCATCATTCTGAGAAAGAAGAGGGAACGATTTCTAGCTGACACAGAACTAATCGTAAATTCCAGGCCCCGTACTGTGCCAGAATGTTTGGCGCGCATGTTCTCGAAAGCCTCATATAAGAATTGGCAGCATTCTCTGACCATGCTGAAAAAGGGTTGCAGGACCCCTTGATGACTTGGAAATCTGACATCATGTATGGATGGATAGTAACATCATGTATGGATGGATAGTTCCTCACCATTTCTTGAGGGCATGGTGAAAATTTCATGTCTGGTGGTAGTGTTTATAGGGTGGCCTTGAGTTAACATCCAAACAAAAGTTTTTAATGACTATATAATTACCATTAGTTTATACAGGCATCGCTACAGGATTAAACCGGGACAGCATTTAACTTTTTGTGCACACCTTGACGCTTGAAACTAACATATATGGTATTGAAGGAGTATACTTGCTATTACGTGGCTTTTGTGATGTTCTGACCTAGTTGGACTTTTATTTTGCTTTTTCTTTACAGGCTTAGGCAAGAATTGCCTTCAACCTGAAAAGGCAGTCAGTCATCCAGGTCTGGTGGGTCCTATCAGTGTTATCCTGTATGATCCGAAATGGTCATGTTTTCATAAGACAAGCATGCTTTTTGTGGGAGAGGCTTGCTAGGCAAGGCATAATTAACCTCTCATTATGTACATCTCTTAGTGGATGTGTTTTGTACAAAGAAAAGCTTTCAAATGTAAATATAGCAATGATTTAATTGGTGTGGATGTGTAAGTGATGTGTACTGTCCATAGAGATAATGATTACTCACCGACTCCATGGGGATCAGTTCAATTGAGAATAAAAAAAATGCGAATGAGTCATGGTGTGCAACATTCCTTGGTTTGTGAAAGGCAAGATATGGCACCATAGTGCATGATGTAGAAGTTCAATAAAGAATGATGATATGACCAACCTTTTGCATTGAGTGAATGCAAGTGGCAACTATGCTCCAGTCAGAAGGACACTTTACTGCTTGCTTATTGAATAAAAAAGGTGGAAAGAAAAAGCAGAAGGTTGGCCGAAAAGCGCTGCACAGAACGGTGCTTTTTGTGTGGTGATAGATGTGCTGCACCAACTACTCCCATTTGGGTCCACGCGGATATACTGAGACATTGCTACACCAAGCAGCTGTCTTTCTCGTGATTTGCACCATACAAGCTGCACCTGCGCTAACATGCAAATATACAGATTGTTTTGCTAGCGCTTGTCGTTGATAGAACCCTCCATCTTCGCTGAAAATGCACCCTAGGAAATTTCAGTTATGGTCCTTTGCATATGCTTTGCTGGCTGCTGCTGCCTGTTTTGTATTGCTTTTCATGGTTAGAATGATTCCAATGAAGTACATGGTACTGAGTGGTGTTAGGATGCTTTATGCAATAGGTGCTCTTGCAAGTGAAAACATTCACTTATCCTAAATAGTTTCTGGGTTGTGATTGACAACCAGAAGACACCGGGGAAAAACTCTCATGTATGATCTGTCCATTTTATTCAAAGCAGGTAAGCATAACCAAGTGCAAGGTTTCATTACAGTGCCGCTCCCTCACCAAAAAGGTCGAGTCTCAGAGAAGTCAAACTTCTCAATGCAAGCAAGAATGACGATAAAGCGATGACGTGCTTCTCACAATTGCCTGCCATTGGTTATTGGTTTTTTGTAGGCCACGGTGGGCAGCCAACAGTTCTTTGACAGCCACGTGCGAGATCCTCAGCTTCCATTATCATAGAAAGTCTGCGTGGCTGTAGCCCGGTACGTTAAATCATGCACAGGATAAGTCTGAAAAAGGCAGACTTGGCGCCATCTTTAAGACTACTAGGGGAGTCTGCCGATACAGAAGTCACGTCATAACATCAATAAAATGAGCTGTTGTGATTTTTTTCCCATTTCTTAAGCAGTCTACCATTATCAAGTGGCTTGACTTTACGCACATCATGATCTGCAGCAGCTTTACAGTAACTATTATTGGGCACACAAGCCACTTTTTCTAAGCTTGGCGCTTGTTTGTTGGTACAGAAGTTAAGCCATTAGGGAGCTTTCAAATAGCCTCAAAGCCTTTGGCGTATGAATGCTTTGGGTCAAGCAGGAGCGAAGAGTTTTCGAATTGGGTCTGCAACTCTCTGGACACTCACCTAATCCTTGGTCACGCTAGTACTGGACGACAGCCGTCGCTTCAATGAGGGCTGTCACGTCTGTCCAACGTTAAGCCTTTGGGGCAGGCTTTAGGGCTCCCGTTAAATTCGAGAAATAGTGTCCCCAACCCAAAACCCAAACGTGGTTTCGGTTTTTCACGTGTGCAGTGGCCTTGACGCTATTTCTTTGGGGCTCCAAACTTTTGCGGCCCCCATTACAAAGATCCCTATTCGTGCAACAAGCTAACGTTTTCTATCAGTTTGTTAACCCCAAAGACAATCGCAAATCAAGATATCTTTATATGTGTTGTCGTAAGATTAAGCTAAAAAAATTGAGTATTTATTCTAGAGCTTGTATTTTGCTGTATTGATAAAAATCTTTGAACAGGGAATGTCACGGGACCCAATATCGCAGCTTGTCCTTAACATCATGAGCGTGCACAGGGTTGGCCTTCAAGAGGGGGGGAGGGGGTGAAGGTTGTCGCAGTGACCACTCCTTATTAAGTCGCTGCATAGGACTGACATTGTGCCCTTTGCTGTTCAAGGATTTTTCATCAATCATGCTTCCATATTGTCCTTAGCTCTTTCTTGTTATGTTTTCTGCTGATGGTTCTTGAAAAGCCCCTTGTATTCTGATGCACAATGCACATTGCAGTTTCATAGCACACAGTCAGTTCTAGTGACAAGCGTCAGAAGCTGTGTTATGATAGTTATTTGAAATTTAGCTCCACGTAGACTTATATTTAGCTGCTTTCAGCTTTACAAAATATGAACAGCGTCCCAGCAGGAATCGAGCCCAAGCATTCTGCATGGCAATGAAAGGAAGAGGAGGAAGAAAGTTTAAGCGGAAAGACAGGGAGGTTAGCCAGTTCTTAGACCGGCTGGCTACCCTGTGCTGGGGAAAGGGGTGAGGGGAATGAAAGATGTTACAAATAAGTTTTGCGAAGAGGGAGAGAAATTACAAAAAAAATTGCGACAGAGGAAAGGCAACATCAAAGAGTATAAGACACTAAAGTTTGTCTCTGAGGCCAGTTGTCCGCAAAAAGCGCAGCAAAGCTTTCAAAGCCTTCTGGGCTGAGGATGGGCTCGGTCAGTGACCCAGAATCCTTTGTTCGGACAAAGGCCGATTGTCTAGTCTATCCAGAGCTGCAGTGAGTTCTTGTCTTTGCGCGTTGAAATAGGTGCACTCACACAGAAGGTGCGCGATGGTTTCTTCCCAAGTGCAGTAAGTGCATGTAGGAGAGCTGGCCATCCCGATGAGATAAGAGTATGCGTTCGTGAAGGCCACTCCAAGCCACAGGCGGCATAGAAGAGTCTCCTCAGCTCGAGATATCCTTGGGGGAAGACGAAGCTGCAGATCGGGATCCAAGTTATGCAGGCGTGCGTTTGTGAAGTCTGTCGAGTTCCACTGTACCAGTGTGAGGTCACGTGCAAGCGAACAAAGTCTTGTAGCTGCGTCGGTTCTTGAGAACGGGATGGCTGTGTATTGGGTACCATCGTGTGCAGATCTAGCGGCCTCATCTGCGCGGTCATTTCCATATATACCGCAAAGACCTGGTATTCACTGATACACTATGCGGTGCTGTTTTTCGGTTGCTTGGTGATGAAGAAGCCTTATTTCCGCTACTAACTGTTCATTAGGTCCATGGCGAAAGGGTGATATAAGACATTGAAGAGATGCCTTCGAGTCCGAAAAGATCGACCAAATTCCCGAAGGTTCTTTCACTATAAACTCCAGAGCTGCACGAATGGCTGCAAGTTCTGCAGCTGTCGACGACGTCAAATGCGATGTCATGAATTTAATTGTGATGTGCCTCGCGGGAATAACCACCGCCCCTGCAGAGCTTACTGAAGACAACGAGCTATCCGTGTAAATGTGAAGGTGTTCGTTGTGCTTCTCTTGCAGAAAAAAGTATTGTGGCCTGTTTCAGGGCTAGATGCGACGACTTTTTCTTATTTTGTATGTCAGGAATTGTAAGAAGGGCTTTGAGTGGGTGTAGGCACCATAATGGTATCGGCGGCTGTGCTGCATGCGTGAAGTGCAATGGAAGCACTGCGCAATGCTGAGCTACAGTTGCGCTGAACGCTGAGTGGGGCCCGGAAGTTCGAAGTGAGGGCTAGGTGATGAGATGGAAGCCGAGCGAAATGTCTTATGTGCATTCTCAAAGCGTCTACGCGGATGTGTGCGTTGACTGGATAATCACGCGCAATGATGACTGTCACTGCTGTAGACGCACATCTCGGGAAACCAAGGCATATCCTCAGGGCTTGTGCTTGGATCGACTGGAGGACGTGCAAGTTTGTTCTTCGGATCCCGCAAAGCACGGGTAAGCTGTATCGCATATAACCGAGGAACAAAACAGTGTAGAGTTGGAGCATTGCTTTTACCGATGCACCCCACGTTTTTCCAGCAAGAAACCTCAGTACGTGGGTGATCATGGTGAGTTTAGTTTTCATGTGGGCGATGCGAAAGCTCCAGGAGAGGTGCGATCAACTACGACTCCGAGGAATCGGTGGGTCTTCACGTAAATGATCGTGTGTCCGTAGATTTTAATAACATATGGGCTCATAGCCTTATGCGTGAATGCTATAAGCGAGCATTTCTCTGATGACAGCTCTAGTCCCCGTTCTTCCAGGTACTTTGTCGCTATTTTTGCCGCTCTCTGAAGCCGGGCACGCAAATGAAGGCGTGTTACGCCTGACGCCCAGATGCAGATGTCATCTGCATATATTGATAGATGGACAAATTCTGGAAGTGCATCAACCAGGCCGAGTAGCGCTAGATTGAAAAGTGTGGGGCTAAGAACGCCGCCTTGAGGCACACCTCGACGGTTGCAATGGTGCGTTGTTGTGCCATTCTCCGTCTGTACAAAAAAATTGCCCTGCAGCTTCCCTCGGGGAAACACTGAGGAGGATGCGGAGCATATAATTGGTTAACGGGGTGTTAAAGTGCGACTTTACTTGGGTCGATGACTAAATTGGTTAACGTGGTTGTGAAATGGGGTGTTAAATTGCGACTTACTTGGGTCGCTGGCTAAATTGGTTAACGTGGTTGTAGGAGGGGTGTTAAATGAGTGAACACGTACGACACGTATGCGAAAGGGCGGTGTTTATTTATTGCGACGAACTTTGAGCACGATGGCTTTTTGGTCGGTAAAGTGAAGAGTGAGTGGATCGGGTTGCAGCGGTAGTTATCGAACCAAAGACGATCACATACCTTGCAGGTGTGGCCGAAGCTTCGGTCGAGGAAGTCGCGCTTGAAGCGAGCGTTGGGCGTGGCATACTGCTTGGCGCGCCACGCCGCTACCTCGGCGCGCTTGCGCTCGCGGGCAGCATCGGGATCGGCCTCTCTTCGCCGACGCTTGCACTCGGCTTCCCGTTTTCGAAAGTCCGGGTCCTCTTGTCGACGCTTACGTTTCAAAGCGGCCGAATCCGGTGCTGCTGCTCGACGCTGACGTCTCTCAGCGGCTTCACGTTCTCTAAGTTGAGCATCTTCCGCTCGACGCCGACGTTTACGTTCGGCGTCGCGAGCTCTTCTCCGCGCTGCCTTGTCTTCGGACGACGACTTGGTTGCGGTTCCACCAACACTTTGGCCGGCGCTGGTCGAATGGACGTCGATCATTGCGACCTCGGACGTCGACGCGCCGTACAAACCAACCGACGAGCGGCAACTGAGCGAGCGAGCACCGACCTTGAGTATATATACAGCGCGACGGCGCATGCACTGTCAGCTGTCGAATGTTTGAGAAGGGGGAGAAGCGCAACGGCGCATGCGCGCGCGTCAGCTG